GACAATTCACGAAGGTTCGAGAAAGACGTGGTGTGATACTAATCACGTGACCTCGCTGACGCAACAATATCTTTAGTACCTACACAACAGTCAACAACTTCGAGCTAGAACTAAATAATTAATTTGTTTTTGCTACAGCAGCTAGTAGTAAAATAAGTAAAATATATCGTTGAATTGAACTAGACATTTGAACTTTTTTTCACTTCACTAGTATATTCTAATGTAAATTATATTTCTCTAATATTGCAACCCATAGTTAATATTATTCCCATTCGACCGCAGTACGTTTTATAGCAAATAAATGACAAAAATACATGTTCTTTTTTAATATTCTACGCACAGACTCCACAACCTCCAGAGAGTATGCCGTTCCTGATGTCCAGAAGCCCTCAACACCTCTTAGTCACCCACCACCAACACCAGTAAACAAGCCACCGTTCCCCCAGACGTTGCCAAAATCTCAACATACACCTAGTGAAAAGCATTACGCAGCTACAGATGTCGTTAAACTACCCAATATTCAAGGAGTAAGCGGTAGCACCGTGTATGCTGTGCCTAACGTAGAGCTGCTTGGTAGAGAGGAGCTGCCTATCCGGGAAATCCCAAGACATAGGCTGAAGTTTCTGGAGAAACTCGGGGAAGGCCAGTTCGGAGAGGTACACAGTCCCTCTTTAGTCTGTAAAACCTGGCATTATATACAAGAGATAAGTTATGAATGATCAAATCAACATAAAACCACGACGTCACGAATATGCCAATAGGTGTTAACCAAAACGCTTCAAAACATAACATACAATGTATGCTGGCGTAATACATGAATAAACCTTGACGAACTTTAGGTCCAGTTAAGTACCATCTTCAGGTCGAAAGAAAGCGCTACGAGGGTTAAGTATTAGGTCATTTATTGACCATCATCGTTCCTCTCAGAAAACCAGAGACTAACCACAGAGAACAGGCTCTACCTCGGAAACTTATACCCTATTTATAAAGACTTCAATACATGAGCCGCTAGCGGACATTACATGCTACGTTTTTAATTTGGTTTTATGTTTTGAAGCGTTTTGTTTAGCATCCATATTCTTAAAGTCGTGGTTTTACACTGGTTTGATTATTCGTAACTTATCCCTTGTCTATATCTCGAGGTTTAACAAACTTGATCTTACAGTTACTCTACCTTATGTCGTCTGGTACTTTTAAGCGTTTAGAAATTTTAGGTGTTTTACGTAAGTTTTTGCTATTCACGTCAACTAAATCCTAGCCACTGTATCTCATTAAAATATAGGTTTACTCAGATTTTTGTAAAAATGGCCCTGAAAAAACAATCGATAATATTTCTAAAATATTTTTTTTTGATAAGCAAGGAAGAATTCTTTTTGTTAGCATTAAAGCATGTTTCTTTATAAATTTTATAAATCTAACAAAACTTCCTAAGTAAATAAGTATGATAAGTATTGTTATCGTAGGACTTTTTAATTTTTACAGTTTCAAATGAATATTTTTTATAGATTTTACACCGAGTTTTAATTAATCTAATACGAATTCCAGTAAAAAAAAAGTGTATTAATAGTTTTAATAATTTATAGTTTTGTTCAGGCCGCTATCAAGAAATATTTTTAGTGCACACAAAATGTCATTTCGTTGTTTGTGCCACGACAGCCAAAATATTGGTTGCAAAGTCATTTATAGTAGTGCTTGGAAATTGAAATTGATAAAAAGATTTATAAATATGAATTACATAGATAATATGTTAATATTTCACAACAGGTTACGATTTAAACGCTCTGAAATATTATTTTTATATGCCTCTGATTTTGAATCCGAAAGGAACAAATTGAGAGAATGTGAAGAAAAAAGAAGGAAAAAAAAATTACAGTTTACATGATTTTTATCACAGATTTTAGGCCTATTTGTTTCTAATATTTCGCCAGCTTTTGGCGTTTAAACCGCAACTTTTAAAGCGTAAGAAAGGTTTAACACTTTCATTCCAAAAACGTTCTTCATAATATTTACAACATCTATCGACGTGAATGAATAGATTAACTTTCGACACTAGATTTGTATCATAACCTTGGTATGTGTGTTTATTAGTAGTTTTAAATGGAACCTATAATCTATTGCCTTATATGTAAATATATATGTATATATATTTAAGATTTAGATATACTACCCAGACTTAAGATGTTTAATAAAGTTATTTTTAGATTTTATGTTACTTAGAGAAAAGTAGAAAAAACCTAATTCCTCGGTAGTGCTAGACATATGTACAACCTAAACTTTTGTACTGCTATTACTATGATGTATAGTAAAAAAAAAATAGAAAACCTTACTTATTTGTGTAGGTCCACCTCTGCGAAGCAGACGGGATTCCTGAATTGGTCGATGTGCCTTGCTATGGTAACAAGACCATGGTTGCGGTTAAGACTTTGAGACAAAACGCGTCTGATCAAGCCAGAAACGACTTCTACAAAGAGGTCAAAATCCTTTCCCGGCTTCGAGACCCTAACATTGTGCATGTGTTGGGAGTATGTACACGTGAGGAACCGCTGGCAATGATTGTGGAATACATGGAAAATGGGGATCTTAACCAGTTTCTGCAACAACATATTCCTGAAGGTGCAGCTTACAGATCAGTGAGTGCCAAAACTTTGAGGTTAGTCATGTTATCATAATCATCATTAATTTATTAAGTTGGTAAGGATTTTAGATGTGCGATTTCTTATATATCAACATGTAGAATTTTGATTAGTTCAATCTGTTAATCAGCCTACATATACCTTGAAAACAGTCACTTCATACTTACTCTCAAAAAACATTATGAATTGTTTCAATGTAAAATGTTATATGGTATTTTACATTGAAACAATTCACAATCTTTCTTGATAGTAAGTAACGGAGTGACTGCGATAAGGCCTTTTCAACACTACTGAAAGTTATATGGTATTTTACATTGAAACAATTCACAATCTTTCTTGATAGTAAGTAATGAAGTGACTGCGATAAGGCCTTTTCAACACTACTGGAAGTTATATGGCATTTTACATTGAAACAATTCACAATCTTTCTTGATAGTAAGTAATGAAGTGACTGCGATAAGGCCTTTTCAACACTACTGAAAGTTATATGGTATTTTACATTGAAACAATTCACAATCTTTCTTGATAGTAAGTAATGAAGTGACTGCGATAAGGCCTTTTCAACACTACTGAAAGTTATATGGCATATGTTACCCTTTCCAATGCTGTAGCTACGGCAGCCTTATCTACATGGCAACTCAAGTGGCCTCAGGGATGAAATACTTGGAATCTCTCAACTTTGTTCACAGAGACCTGGCAACTCGCAACTGCCTAGTGGGCAGGGCCTACACCATAAAGGTGGCGGACTTCGGTATGAGTAGGGGCCTATACACAGCTGACTACTACAGGATTGAAGGAAGAGCAATGCTTCCGATCCGCTGGATGGCCTGGGAAAGTATCCTATTGGTAAACAATAACTTCCTTTTAACACCTTTCTTTAATACAAATAAAAGCCCATTTTATCCGATGCTTTAAAGTGGCTGTAGTTCATAATTTTGTGTGTTTGAGAGAAAACGAAATTCAGTACTTCCCGTGTATTGGAAGATATAAGATGAAAAAAAATATTAAACTTAAGTAAAAATAAAGAAAAAATTAGAAACAAATTTTCATTTTCATTTCAGCTAGAAATGAAAACCAATTACATAAAAATACAAAATTACAAAAATTTAAAACCTAACACGACAAATTATCTTAGGGTACAAAATCAGGAAGTTTATGCTAAATATATATGAGAATGAACCAAAAATTTATGAAAACTAGGTAGAAAAAACTGCATATTACGGTATACGTTAAGCACAGATCAATATTCCATAAAGGTAATAAACTGGTTTTTGTATAAATCATAAAGAAAACAAAGAAAAGGAACCTGCCTGCGCACTTTCGGATTTTGAGCAGATATAGTCCTAGTAAAATGAAACTTAAACAAATATAGTCCTAGTAAAATGAAACTGAAACAAATAAAGTCCTAGTAAAATGAAACTTAAACAAATATAGTCCTAGTAAAATGAAACTGAAACAAATATAGTCCTAGTAAAATGAAACTTAAACAAATATAGTCCTAGTAAAATGAAACTGAAACAAATATAGTCCTAGTAAAATGAAACTTAAACAAATATAGTCCTAGTGAAATGAAACTTCAAGTTTATCTAATAAATAGAGAATTTGAGCATACAAACACACACACATATATATAAAGCTAAAAGTCAACTGCCTTGCTCCAAAGTTGAACTAACTTCTGCTGAGTCCCTTTGGTAGTTACGATACATTTTCATGCCATAACTTATAGCAGTCACAAGAGCTCAATACTAACTTTCCAATGATTTATATGTAAGACAACATAACAAGGTTCATCACCAAATTCCCATTGATTCATGCATAACACAACATAGTAAGCTCAACACTAATCTTCTACTGATTTATACGTAACATCACCAAATTCCCACTGATTCATGCATAACACAACGTAGTAAGCTCAACACTAATCTTCTACTGATTTATATGTAACATCACCAAATTCCCACTGATTCATGCATAACACAACAGTAGAAGATTAGTGTTGAGCTTACTATGATTTATATGTAACATTACCAAATTCCCACTAATTCATGCATAACACAACATAGTAAGCTCAACACTAATCTTCTACTGATTTATATGTAACATTACCAAATTCCCACTGATTCATGCATAACACAACGTAGTAAGCTCAACACTAATCTTCTACTGATTTATATGTAACACAATATAACAAAGTTCATTATTAACATAGTTATCAACATAACCATTTCTGTATTTATATCGATAAGATTCTGGTGACAAAGGTAAATTTATATGTAACACAATATAACAAAGTTCATTATTAACATAGTTATCAACATAACCATTTTTGTATTTATATCGATAAGATTCTGGTGACAAAGGTAAATTCCCTTTGGATAGGGCAATTTTGGCTTATTCACCATTTCAACTAACTCGTTTGATCGTACAAAAGAATACTAATTCAGAATTCTAACTTTTGTTATTTCTTACTTTTTTATACATTCGGTACAGATACATTTCTACATATTTTATGTAAACTTTTCATCTCAACAGAAGTGTAGATATTTATTTTCGGTTTTATTTGACACTTTGCTTAGTGAAACTTAAAGAAACAAAGAATAACATTGTTTTTAACAGACAGGACACAAATGAATTTCTTCTATATATTTCTTCATATATAATTCATTAAAAGTTAACTATTTGTAAAACTTCAAGGTTCTTGCTTCTCGTCTAAAGTCAAACTGCTGAGATACATACTGTGTTAGTGAAGGTGGTGCTAACTAACAACTGGGCCTATTATATATGAACTACACAAAGAGATAAGGCATTGAACACGTGATTACGGTCTCCCCAACAAAAGGGCAGACTTAACCTTCTTCCCAAACGTTTCTGATATACTATAAACAGTACATATAATTCAGAGAAATATATATATTTTATGCCAACACAAATAAAGCAACATATACATTAAATATACACTTTAACCCAGAAAATGAACGACTTGTTTTTATACCATTCACTACCACCTGGAATCCAAATATTGCATCACTTTTAGCAGTTTCGTGTTCTTGCAACACACAGTGTAAACAACTGACCAAAACCATTGCGTGAAATTACATCATTACGTACGTTAAAGTATAAACAACTTACCAAAACCATTGCGTGAAATTACATCATTACGTATGTTAGAGTGTAAACAACTGGCCAAAACCATTGCTTGAAATCACATCAAACTGATCAAAACCATTGCTTGAAATCACATCATTACGTACGTTAAAGTGAAAACAACTGACCAAAACCATTGCCTGAAATCACATCAAACTGATCAAAACCATTGCTTGAAATCACATCATTACGTACGTTAAAGTGTAAACAACTGACCAAAACCATTGCTTGAAATCACATCAAACTGATCAAAACCATTGCTTGAAATCTCATCATTACGTACGTTAAAGTGTAAACAACTGACCAAAACCATTGCCTGAAATCACATTATTACGTACGTTAAAGTGTAAACAACTGACCAAAACCAGTCGAAGAAATCACAACCAGAAGCTAAATCGTAATTAAAATAAAATCGAAACAACGATAGTGCACACCTAAAAACGTTGTATTCTTTTTGTTAGGCTTATAAGGGCAGAAATGAAGTTTAAATTATATCTACTAACAAAACAACAATATTTAATAACTTTGCGTTTAAATTCAGACACAATGAAAATTCATTTATCTCTGTTTTTGCTTAGCTGTACACTTCAATTAACTTCCATAAACAATGAGTGAACAATGAAGCTAGAGAAATCGAGCCATTCAGATCAGTAAAAGTAACTGTAAGCACAACGATTGCGTTTATTTTTAAGCCCTCAAACCATTTTTACTAATCGATAGCAACTTTTCACGAATTGAAATATCAGTGCAAATAAAAAGCAATCCTAAATATGGGTTGAAAATCCTTATCTACGGGATGTTTCATTTAACTCACTCTCGCTACAAGCACTTCAAAAATAACTTATCTTCAGAAGTAATGCTATTCATTGAACCACATAACCTCTAAGTCATAGTGAAAGCACGTAGGACATATTGTTTTGGGCTCCTATTGTGATTGCGCTGGAGGCTAAAAAGGCTGTCGATCGAAGTCTTTTACATTGCCTCTGAATATTGTGACTTTTCAATTTTCCTCCAGTGTAGTTTAGCAGGAGACAATGAAAGCTTTGGTATTGTCAGAAGGTAATACGATGAAATATGGCCCTTATAGCTCTCATCAGTGTGATGTATTAATTTCTTTGTCTCATTTGAAAGGAAGATTAACTGTCTGACAGAAATCCCATCACACATCATCGTTCGACTTAATAGTTTCCAATCATGATTCTTCAATCTATCTTTACATAAATGCAGTGTGACACTGCCGTTCGACATAAACTAGTGTTTGATGAGTAGAAGCATCCTCAGCGGCGGGTTTAAATATAATTACAGTTCCTCTGTTTCTTTTCCTTTTTTATTTATTTAGACCTTTATAAATTTGTATAAAACGTTTGCTTTATGCACGTATTATGCATTCTAGGTTTAAGCCATCTAACGTATATTATAATAAACGAAAACAGAAGAGGGGAAACACTCATATCGCAAAAAAATATAAATAGACATTTCTAATGTTCACATTTAACTGCACCTCAGTGGTTTTTGTCTGATTTAAGCAATAGTTTGATCAACAGAAATGTTCTTCATATAACGCTTTGACCCTTCAGAATACTTTTAAATGCATTTCACAAATCAGAAAAAATGCTGTTTGTTTTGTTTTTGAAT